ATAATCTTGGTTTAATTTCTCTCACTATCTTAAATTCATAATGATATGTATGATATAAGTGCTTTATTTGTGTAGTGTGTCCTCTTTTTACATTTAAAAAAAAATAAAAGTGAACCTTGTTAAGCCCCCTGGTTGTCAATCAGACAACTGATCCTGTTACTTCCTGGTTTGATTAGCTCAGTGGAGCTAAACTCAAGAGGCAGACAATTGCTCAGTGCACCTGTTTAGCAACTCATTGAGCTGCATTGTGAAGTCTGTAATTGGACAGCCACAGAAAGTCTGGGCTTTGGAAAAAGGGTATGACTTGCAAAGGTTTCACACAAAAGATCTTCAAGCTGTTTTGGATATACCCACAATGAAAACATGCACATTTCGATTCGGTTCGGCATTTCAAAATTCGGGACTTAGGCAATTCGGAACTTCGGTTCAGCAGTTTGGCAGCTTCGGAACTTTGGCAACTTTGGAATTTCGGAACTTCGGCACTTCGGGACTTCTCTTGCAGCCGCTTAGTAGATACTCCCTAATTCCCACGGTATTAGGGAGCTATCTACCAAAAGGCTGAAAGACCTAAATTGCTCTTTCAGCCAAATTTACTAATACTATGTAAAAATTATTTAGTATTAGTAAATTCTGCCCCTATTCGCTAGACCATGAGTAGGGGCATGTCTATTAAACAGTGAGCCGTGAGAGTGTGGGCTTTTAAACTGAAGGGGTGACCTATTGCCCACCTCCCCACCCCCGGCACCCACCCCTGAGCAGCGGTTGGTGCCCTAAATCAGAAAATACCTTATTGGTATTTAGGGCCCCCACCCACCGCTCAGGGGTGGGGGCCAGGGGCAAGGACAATAGGTCCCCCCCTTATTGGTATTTAGGGCCCCAGCCCACTGATCAGGGGTGGGGGCAAGGGGGAGGACAATACATTCACCCCTTATTCTAATTTAGGCCCCCAACCCACCGCTCAGGGGTGAGGGAAAGGGGGGGACAATAGGTCCCCGCCTTATTGGTATTTAGGGCCCCCACTCGCCGCTCAGGGGTGGGGGCAAAGGGGAGGACAATAGGTCCCCCCCTTATTCTAACTTAGGGCCCCCATCTGCAGCTCAAGGGAGGACAATAGGTCCCCCACCTGCCGCTCAGGGGCAGGGGCCAGGGTGGGGACAATAGGTCCCCCCATTATTCTAATTTAGGGCCCCCACCCACTGCTCATGGGTGGGGGCTGGGGGGAGAACAATAGGCCCCCCATTATTTTACTTTAGGGCTCCCACTCACTGCTCAGGGGTTGGGGCCGGGGGGAGGACAGTAAGTCCCCCCCCCTTATTTTACTTTAGGGCCCATACCCGCCATTCAGGGGTTGGGGCCAGGTGGGGCAAATAGGTCCCCCCTTCAGTTTAGAAGCCCCCACTTGCGCGGCACGGGTGGGGGCTCGGGAGGGGGGACACGTGGTTTTTGTTTTTCTTTTACGGTGACACAGGCTGCTCACTGTTTAATTGACATGCCCCTACTCACAGTATAGCGAGTAGGGGCATAATTTACTATTACTAAGTAATCTTTACTTAGTATTAGTAAATTTTTCTGAAAGGACCAATTTAGGTCAGCTCAGCAGCCCGGCACTGCGGGGGAGGAGCATGGGCAGACCCTGAACCAGTGCCGAGTGACATCGGTGCTGGATAAAGGTAAGTCACTGAAGGGGTTCTAAACCCTTCAGCAACCTGGGATGGGGGGTGGGAGGGAGAGGGGACCTGCAGTTGTTTTCCTGGCACTGGAGTGTCCCTTTAACCATTTCTAATAATCGTTAAACCATTATCCAGTATCCTTGGTATTTGCCACCACCAACTTCTATTTTCCTTTTTCTTCAACAATTTTTTCATAAATGTGAAATTATCCAGATAATGGCGACTTTTTAACTTGACTCACTGTAACAAAATTCAAAAGACATTGGAGTTGTTTGGGAAAAGCTTACAACCCAAGTGCTTTCTAATTTTCAGATTAGGTTTTTCTGCATTGTGAAATATGCATTTTATTAATTTCTTCCACTGAATAAATACACTGTGTACATACATCAGTTGCTCATTTGTGCCTAAATTTTGTTGATGTGTCATGTTTAAATGCAAAAAGATTAACTATTACTAAGAAATTGAAAGAAAAAATTCTAGCTAGGGTATGCAGAGTATAGAGCTCTAAGAATTTATAGATGTTTTCCTCTAAACTATTAATGTCCATGAACAATAAAACCAGTTGCTTAGCTAAATCAATGCATTGGTATTTCACGTATATTCTCAGGCTCCTTTTACAACCTACAGATATGCTGTAATGTGTGTCTAATATGCTTTCTAATCATCTCTTTTTTAAAGATTAAGCTGTGCAATGCTAGATATGGGAGAAGGTGACTTAATATTCAGATTCTTTTGTTTGTAGTAGAATAACTGACCAATGCCCCAGTGGAGAAAATGTGTTTTTCTAATGGGTGAGCACCAACATTGAAGAATGGAAGGAGATAAGTTAAAGGGAAACTATAGTGCTAAGAAAACAAATGTATGACTTATAGTGACAGAGCTTAAGAACATCCAGAGTTATTTAGTGGACCAAAAGTATGCTAAAAACTGGGAAGTGTCTCCAGTAGTTGTCTGGTAGACAGCTGCTAGAGGTGGAGCTAACATTCAAAGGTAATTATTGCAGTATCAGACAGTGCATCCAGACCACCTCAAATAGCTAAAGTTGTCTGGGTGCCTATAGTGTTCATTTAAATTGCACTGTTTGTTTTTTTTGTTTGTTTTTTTACAGTGAGCAGCCACTGGCTGCTCACTGCTTACTAGACATGCCCCTACTCGCTGCATAGCGAGTAGGGGCAGATCATTTACTAATACTAAGTAATCTTTACTTCGTATTAGTAAATGTGGCTGAAAGACCAATTTAGGTCTTTTAGCCTTTTAGTAGATAACTCCCTAATACCGTGGGAATTAGGGAGTTATCTACTAAGCGGCTGCAAGATGCAGCCGCGGATCGGAGTTTGCATGCCACAGTCCAGGTGTTAGTCCCCTTGAAACATCTTGTGTGTTTTAAAATTCGCCTGTCTATTGAAGTCTATGGCGGTTCGCCCGGTTCGCGGGTTCGCGAACATTTGCCGAAATTCGCGTTCGCCGTTCGCAAACCGAAAATCTTATGTTCGCGACATCACTAATTACTAGATATGCAATATAATGAGGGATATTTATCAAGGCAAAAACAGGTGCAATTCTGGAGCAACCTGCTTAACAAGGAGCAGTCACCATGGAAACTAATGGAATATCCTTACACACCTCCCCCCAGGTGTCTTTTGAGAGTTCTTACAGAATTTCTCTAGCAATGTTTCGCTACATGCTTGTCTTTATATAATAAACAATTTAATATTTCTCCCTGCATGCTTTTTTTAAATTTGATGAGAGATTCAATTATTATATGCTAAATTCACTCCAAATTTAATCATGACATTCTCCCATTCATCTATGACTATACCTTTTTATTGGTATGATATTAATTATGTACCAAAGCAACTTTACATAATGAGCTCGAAGGAGTGCTTTTTTTTTTTTTAAAACAAAGTTTGAAAAAGAATGCCTTTGGTTGATGAGAAGAATGAACTGTACTTTAAATTGCCTGATTTGGATAGTAAATAATAGAGAATTTGCATTTTATATGCTTTTTAATAAGAAAAACAAACAAACAAAAACATTCTGTACGGATGTGGCATGGAAGTGAATTTGAAATTTAAGGTCCATACAGTCAAACCGCAAACACATTCTAAGTTAGGGGTACCCAATCCTTTTAGTGTCATGATCTACTTTTTAAATGACCAGCTCAACGAGATTGACCTATTAATAAAAAAAAACACACGTCTTACAAAAAAATAAAAAAAATACATTAAATCCTTATTGTGATTTTCATTGAATTCATCTATTAAAATAAACAAAAAAAAACTGCCTCCCCAACCCCCACCAAACCCCATGTCTAATTAAAGAGTCATCCGTGATCTACCAGCATCGCCTTTGCAATTGACTGGTAGATCGTAATCAACGTATAGGGCACCACTGCTCTAAGTACTTTCAGTTTGGCTAATCTGACCTTAATTTTGAAATTTACTTTGAACTCTGACTAGAGTAAATAAACATGTTAAAGTTACAATTAAAGTCATGATGGACTTAGCTTGTGATTTAGGGTTTATTTTTCTGGGTACATTTTATTTATTTTAATTTTATCCCTTTAAATCTGTGCATCTTGCTGATTTTATTGAATCTCGTGCACTTGGCTTTAAATAGTGGTTTTTAAGCTTGATTAAATTTATAGCTTAAGTGACTATAATTTTTATGTTGCATGTTTATGTACTTAAACTTAACAGATGGGTAGCATACATAATGTTTTACACTGTAGTGGAACACCGCAATTTACTATCAGAGAAGTCAAGTGAATTGTTGAAGCTTGGAGTACTTTGCAATAAAAAACGTATACTTCTTTGGAATAAATTGCAATTACATATAATACTGAAAGCTTTAAGATTACGTGGGCAACATTTGTGGTTTCAGTAAGTTCATTAGGTTTATGTCAGAAACGTATTACTTTATAGTCAAGGAAGACACATGGGTAGCCAAAGAAGTCCATTGATTTCTGGAAAAAGCAGCATAATTATGCAACCAAGTATTTGAATGGTATCCAGAATAGAATGGTCTCTAGAAAATAAAACAATTAAAAAATGCTTTTCTGATGGTCATTGTATGCAACCCATAAACCACTCCATGTGTATTTTGATAGCTCCCTTTTTTTTTTTCTTTTTAAGAGATGTGGTAATATGGAAATACTACATTTAAGGGACACTATAGTCACCAAAACAACTTGAGCTTTATGAAGCAGATTTGGTGTATATGTTATGCCCCTGCAGTATTACTGCTCAATAGTGATGTCCCTAACTGTTCGCCGAACGGTTCGCCGCGGACTCATCATTGAGTAAACTTTGACCCTGTACCTCACAGTCAGCAGACACATTCCAGCCAATCAGCAGCAGACCCTCCCTCCCAGGCCCTCCCACCTCCTGGACAGCATCCATTGTGAAGCTGCATTCTTAGTGAGCTGTCCAGGAGGTGGGAGGGTCTGGGAGGGAGGGTCTGCTGCTGATTGGCTGGAATGCGTCTGCTGACTGTGAGGTACAGGGTCAAAGTTTACTCAATGATGAGTCCGTGGCGAACCGTTCACGAACCGTTCGGCGAACAGTTCGGGACATCACTACTGCTCAATTTTCTGCCATTAGGAGTTAAATCCCTTTGTTTATGTAGCCCAAGCATACCTCTCTGCATGTGACTTGCATAGCCTTCCTAAACACTTCCCGTAAAGAGAGATCTAATGTTTAAACATCCTTTATTGCACAGTCTGTTTATAATTTCTTATCTGTTACACTGTTACTAGCTTGCACGACCTTGCTGGAGCCTTCTGTGTGTGATTAAAGCTCAATTTACACAGCAGGAGATTAACATTTTTAAAATAAGTTAAAATCTGATTGACATTGAACCCATTTTTTCATGCAGGCTGTCTCAGTCACAGCCAGGTGAGATATGGAAAGGGCTGCACAATCAGAAACAAAGGTGATTTAACTCCTAAATGGCAGAGAATTTAGCAGTGAGACTGCAATTGCATGATCAGTGCACAAAACTAGTTAAGCTAAAGTTGTTTTGGTGACTATAGTGTCCCTTTAATATCTGCTAGAAGACAGGGCAATTCTACAGACTCCCAGTTACATTATGTTTTGAGGATTAATTTTTTTTAGAAGGAAAGCCCCACTTAAATGCTTTAATGACAACAATCTAGTATTTAACTGTATTTAAAAATTCAGCATTGTAGTGCCTTGTCTCCATTGTAGCAGGAGACAAATGGATAAATTTATGGGTTTAAAAAATGGATTTTATAACTGCAGGTCGTGTAAGGCCTGTAAAACCACGGGCTCTCATAGATCTTTTAGGGATCATTTTGAGACCAAAGCAAAAACATATAGAATTAGAGAATGTATCACCTGACATACCAGCAATACTATCTATATGCTCACCTGTCCTTGTGGACTTATATACATCGGGAGAACCACACGTAAGTTATGTATTAGAATAGGAGAGCATATTTAAATATATTTAAATGTGCCACGATCTGCACTAATTATGTAAATGAGGTGTGCTATGTTCGCCCAAGGCCGCCATCAGAAATTTTGGGGCCCCTAACACAGCTCAAGGTCTGGGCCCCCCTTCAAGCCCGCCTCCAAATCCCGCCCACAGGAATACACACAAACTAACAGATACAAATACGGAAACAGACACACACACATGCATAGGGAGATACTGACACACACACACACATATACATGCAGACATACCTACTGACAAACATACATATACATACACATACTGCATACTGATATATACATACATACATACTGACAGGCATACACACATACATTGGCATACACGCATACACTGGCATACATACACACATGCACTGGCATACACACATGCACTGGCATACACACATACACTGGCATACATGCACTGGCATACACACATGCACTGGCATACATACACCCATGCACTGGCATACATACACACATACACTGGCATACACACATACATTGGCATACACACTGGCATACATGCACTGACATACACTGGCATACATACACACATACACTGGCATACACACATGCACTGGCATACACTGGCATACACACATACACTGGCATACATACACACATACACTGGCATACATGCACTGGCATACACTGGCATACATACACACATACACTGGCATACACTGGCATACATCACACATACACTGGCATACACACATGCACTGGCATACACGCATACATTGGCATACATGCACACATACACACATGCACTGGCATACACTGGCATACATACACACTTACACTGGCATATATGCACTGGCATACACACATACACTGGCATACATACACACATACACTGGCATATATGCACTGGCATACATACACTCATGCACTGGCATACACTCATGCACTGGCATACATACACACATACACTGGCATACACACATGCACTGGCATACACTGGCATACATACACACATACACTGGCATACACACATGCACTGGCATACATACACACATACACTGACATACACACATGCACTGGCATACACTGGCATACATACATACACTGGCATACATACACACATACACTGGCATACACTGGCATACACACATGCACTGGCAAACACACATGCTCTGGCATACACACATACACCTCATTTTCAGCCACCCTCCTCTCTTCCTTACCATTTCATCGCAGGAGGGTGGCTGGGGATGATTGGCATCAGCTGCGTCCTCCTTCCCGCGTGGAGTAAAGTGGGAGGAAGTGACTGAACGTCACTTCCTCCCAGCAGCACTTGCTTCCGGCTGCATTTTTTTTTTTTTTAAAGTGGCCCGGTCACGCTATTACAGCGCTGATCGGGCCCCTTAAGATAATAGGGCCCATTGGGTGGCCCTAAATGCTTGGGCCACCTGATGGGCCCCATCAGCGTGTGGGCCCCGGTGCAGATGACAATTGTCATGGTTGTCATGCCCTGATGGTGGCCCTGTGTCCGCCCAATGAACTATCAGCAAGCTGCTATTTAAAAAGATTCCACATGACGGAATGACATCACTGCCGACATCCTGACGAAGCCTTCGAGGCGAAACGCGTAGACGTGGTGACGTAGTGGGCTACGTAGTGACGCTGTACGGAGTGGGCAGAGTTTTGCTTAGACTCACGAATCTCAGAATATCGGACGCTCTGACTACAGATCCGTTGACACAGGAATATACAACAACCCGTGGAGGGTTCCTGGTGATCAACCTTTGAGCAACAGAGTGTTCATTGAGTACCACAAGCGTTTGTGAGTAGCAGTGGAATGCTGCAGATACTCACTATTTTTCTCTTGTAAGAGGCTGATTTTAACTATTCATTGTATTATCTGGCTCTATACTGCTATTTGATTTTAAGACAGGAGTGTTGTCTGTCTAGTTTTAAATAAATTGGTGTTTTTACCTGATACCTGATTCAATGGTACTTCACTATGATGTGCTTTCTTTATTCTGTTCTATGTTACTTTAAGCAACAGTGAACCTGGGATTATTTGAGGTCCTTGAAGCTATTAGCGCTCCACCAGTATAAGTATATTATTTCTATATTCCTTTTGTGTGTGGATTTTGGGTGCACACAGGTGTGTAGCTGCTAGATTAATAATTAAATCTTATAGTAAATTATATACAGCATTTTTTAGGTGGTGGGGAGGACTTTGTCACATTTTTTTCCCCCATTTCCTCTACACCTTGTAAGCGCTTTTATATTTATACCTTCCATTGTAGCAGTGTTTAAATAATATCACCCATGTTTCATCAGGCTGCACAAGGTAGGCACATTTCATATCGCGTCATCAAGGAATTCATTAAAGGCATAGTACTTTCTATAGATTCCTATGAAGTGATTTTGTTGCAGTTGCAAACCATTTTCTTCTTGCAATTGTAGCACAGAATAATAAAAAATGTGCTCTAGTGAAACATTCTAAATAGAGTTTCAAAAGATGGGCGTTAAGAAATGTGTTGTTTTCTATTTCCTGACAAAAATGCTCTCCAAATTTAGACTTATTTTGTATATTTTTTTTTTTCCTGTTTTCAAAAGTAATTTTTCTGGTACACCTGACATAACAGACAGCAATGAATACGCTATCATAGCATTTGCAGGTTGTGAGTATTTCGAGATCTAGATGTGTTTAGTTAGACATCTAAATCAAATTAGATTTATTTACAATAACAAGTTGGCATACTGGTAAATGTTGCAATGTTATCACTTGATATTAAAAAAACACAAAAAAAACCTGCCATCAGACCCAAGAATATAAATGCATTTGAGATCTCAAAAGACGTTTAAATCAATGTGCTGCCACCGTTACAAAGCAGATGAAAGAACATGCTGTCTGAATTGCTAGGAAACTGCTTAGGAGCTCTCTCTTTGATTTCTTTGGGTAGTCTGTTACATTATTTCTCAATGCAATACATGAGGATAATGCAGCTTTGATGTTGTACAACTTCAAAAAATGGGAAGTAATGTAAGTAAACAGCTGAGATCCAATTCAGATACATTTATCATTATGTAAGTATTGGCATACTGTCATTCTTGTTAAATGAGTACAGTGTGTGAATGTATAAAACTATATATAGCAAATACACAAATATTGTTCAAGACCTGTGAGTGCACCCTATTTTTGTGATTTATATATACAAGTGGTTGAGCACCCAGCATGTGTGTGTGTGTGTCAGGCATCTAAAGCCAAAAGGAAAAGGGGCAAAGGGTGTTAAGCAGCCATATTTGATATGGCTAAAAAATATAGGATTAATTTCTATTTCTATATAATAATTTCAATTATTTCCTTTATTTTTTAGCCATAGCAAATATGGCTGCTTAGCACCCTTTGCATTTTTTCTTTTTGGCTTTAGATGCCTGTCACTAAAGACCTGCACCAGCCATGTCCACATAGAACTCTCTACCATCCCAGATAGACTGCTTAAGTCACGCCTACTTTTCGTGTGCGTACCGCCCATCAGAACGTCGGCTGCACTCGCCCCCTTCACTGTAGGTGATGTGCATGCCGCCCATTTATACTGCGGCTGCACACACCCCCTTAACCCAATCGTCAAAGTGCTGCGAGTCACATGCTTGTTTTAGCCCACCCTCCACCACCCAAGCTAAGCCGCACAAGCCACACCAACTACCCATGTGCGTGCCGCCCATCCGAACAGCAGTTGCACACACCCCCTTCACTACACGAACAGTCTGTGTATTATAACAGCAGCCACCCACGATCCCTATACTAACACTGCCAGAAGCTACATTTCCCAAGCGGCAAAGTGATGATCATTTTCTTTTTAATTACTTAGTCCTTTACTGCCCTCGTTTTTCATTACAATTTATATTAAATGCATCTTTCACTTATACTTTTTAATACTAACCACTTATTTATCTGTGTGGCGAAACCGGCCTCGCCACATGTCCTTGGAGGGGGCTGCTTGCCCGCCTCTTGCCTTTGGACTATGGACTAGACTTTATATGAATTTGTTAACCCAGATAGCTATGCCAT